TTTTCTTCGCTTATTCCGCGCACGCGGACTTCCTCCGGAAGAACTGGAGACTTCACCTCGTCCCTTGTTTTTAGATTCTGGGGATGATGAATCAGAATCACTGCCACTATCATGTCTCTAAATTCGAGATCGTCGACCATCCTTTCCCAAAGGTCGTCCCCAATCTTGGCACGCGGCCTGTTGCGATTTTGCCACCTCCAGTGCCAAATCCTGTCTAAGGCGCTCGTTCTCAGCCATCATATTTTCCAACCTCTGTTCATTTTGCTTCGCCTGATCCATAATCGCTTACATTGTCTCATGTACTGATGTCGAGAGTGAGGTCTGGGCAACTGAGTCGAAGTTCAAGACCGTTCGTGCGGCAATGTTCTCCGGCCCAAGCATGTTTCTTAGAGTGGTATCATCTCATGGCGTAAGGTTGTCGGTGACTATCGGAGGATCTTTTGTCATGCCTGCCATGGACGTGCTTGGGTATTCCCACAAACGGTGCCAATTGTGGAAATATGGTTTGGAAATACTCTATGGATCCTGTAGGACGCTCTTGATCCTCTGCTAGTCACCTGAAAAGGGATGAACACTCCAGTCGGGGGTGCCGGAATTAGCACTCCGATGGACAAGTCAGTGTATACTCTCTTGGTTACTTGTATCTCAAGTTAATCTTATTTATTCTCACACCCCTTTTCTTAGCTGATGCTCCTCTTATTTATAGTCGTCCTTGATATTGATGATTGGGCCCACCTTTAGACCAACGAACAATTTCTTACTCGGCTATTTTGTCCTATATATTCGTACTCGGCCCAGTTTACAGCTGATTCTACGGCCGATTTGGTTATTCGGCCTCTGTGTCCCTCCAGGATAGAGCCATATAATACATAACTTGATTTCTTTCTTTAAACTAAATCGGCTTCCCTATGTAAGAATATTATTCGGCTCCCACATTAGAGAATCTTAAAAAGCACAAATTTTATGTGTTTCTAAGTGCTTTTCCAAGCAAAATTTTCTCTCCACAAAAATCATGGCCAATGACAAATTAGGTTCTGAAAATGTCATGCCTGAGGGACAATTTTTTAAGCTATTAATTGAAAATGAAGACCAACTTCTTTTGCCAAAAGCTATTGAGCATTTTAATCCAATTGCGGGATATGGTTTTAAGTCAAATATGACAAAGAATGTTGAACAACCATTACAAAATGATGGTGAACATTCAATTGGAGAGTATAATTTTAAGCCAAACGTGACTAAATTTAATGAACAACCATTACAAAATGATGATGAAAATCCAATTTGAGGGCATAGTTTTAAGCCAAACATGGCTAAATTTGATGAAAAAACATCGCAAAATGATAGTGAAAATTCAATTAGAGGGCATGATTTTAAGCCAAACATAGCTAAAAATTATGAACAACCCACATTTAATGAATTTGAATTTTTCGACATTGTTAATTTTGTCAAAAAAATTTAATTTTCTAAAGTCAATTGACATTATGATTTCTGTCATCCAACAACTACAATGGCTTTGTGGTTCACATCAAAAATTAATTTTGATGAAGTGGTTTACAAAAAGAAATTCTGAATTTTATTTCCATTTTTTTATAACAGTAATGGGAGAGTATTTCGATGTGGCCACAACAACAAAAAACTATATATATGTGGTCAATCAATTATAATTTTCATAGTTTTTATTATATATTTATGTTCATACAACTCTTTAAGAATTCAAATACTCATTCTTAAAGAGTTTGGGGCATTGTTTGCACGATAAATAAAATTTATGCCGATTATAAATAGGTTTAAACTTTCTATTACTTATTATTATTATTATTATTATTATTGTTATTATTGTTATGATTATGCAGGAAAATCTTGAAAATTAAGAGAAGTTAAGTCAGGTTTTGAAGATTCAATAGATGGAGAACAAGTGACAATGTAAAAAAATGACAGTTATATGAGTGGTTAGATGATGTTTACATGTGGTTGGTAAAAAATTATGAAATTATGAAATTATAATTCCTAATCTTTATTATCTTCTCTCGCCCTGGCTTTATTTAACTTCAACGCTGAAAAGTTCTTGGTATAAACGCTCTCTAATAATAACTTTTGTTTACCATAACCATACACATTTAATAAGATCACTACAATATAGTAGATTTCAAAAAATTGAATCATTTGGTATAACTTCAACGCTGAAAAGTTCTTGGTATAAACGCTATAACTTTTGTTTACCATAACCATACACATTTAATAAGATCACTACAATATAGTAGATTTCAAAAAATTGAATCATTTGGTAACAAGCAATGAGGTCCATGAATTCAAGTATACGTTCTCACCATAAACTAATCAATTAAATTTATTTATACACACACATATATATATATATATATATATATAATTAGGATAAATTATATTTTATCTCCTTTATGTTTGATTACTTTTTGCTTTGGTCATTAAAAATTATTTTTTTCCATTTTGACTCATCATATTTTAAGTTTTTCTCAATTTACTTCTAAAACTAATTTTTGTTAAAAATTAGATAAAACATGACATATTAACAATCACGTAATATAAAAATATTTCATTAAATATAACTCACATTTCTGATACAAACTCAAAGTCTAATATAATAATATATTTTCATGTTATATGACAGTTTTCATGACATTTTCTATCTAATTTTGAACATAAGTTAACTCTAGTAAATTGACAAACTTTAAGAAATAAAGTAAAAAAATGACCAAACATAAAATGACAAAGTGTGATTTACCTATGGAAAATGTTTAATACCTACAAAAAATCTCCCAATTGTACCCACAATTATGTGATATTACATGTGTCAACTTTTGATTTATTATATATCTAATAATATAGGATCCACCCTCTTACAACATCATTGTAGGTGGAGTTACGAGTTAAAAGTATGAATCTGTATCATTACTTTTTACCAATATAACTAATTGCATTGTATGATTGAAATTAAATTATAGCACTTCTGAAGTGTGTAAGTACATATTATATGTTCTTGTGTGAGTTCTCATAAATATACATAAATTATCTTACAAAATGGAGTAAGTTTTAATAAATATATTTAAATTACCCCGTAACAATTTAAAAAAATCACAAGTTACGTATATTTGGGAGATAATTTATATATATTTATAAGAATTTATACAAAATATATGACATATAGCTTGTAAACCCAAACACTTCCTAACCTACCAAGTCTTCCTGTTGACTAAAACTTCAGAACATACCAAGTCTTCCCGTTGACTTGAACAACCACCGCAGAAGACTCCAGGAGGAGCCAACTTCGACTAGACCCGCATATTTATTCAAGCAATATATATATAGATATATATTATTATATAAAATAAAGAAAATTTCAAATGCGATTTCTATTCATCTTTTTCATATTATATATTTGTACTCACATAACATTTACATAGACCGCTAATATGTATATAAATATTCTTATTATGTGAGTTCAGTCATCATTTTTTCAGAGTTTCAACTTCTGTTCTGCTCATCTCCAATTTGTGGCGAAGCTTTGGATTGCATTAATTGTAAGTCTCTCTCTCTCTCTCTCTCTCATTCTTGTTCTGGGATTAGCCTGTATATGTTTATTGGTTTTGTTTTTGATTCCTGAAAACTATCTGCTATAAAATGTGAGAAAAGTTCTCACACAGAGTACTATGTAGTGAATCTACATCCTTAAACATAAGCTATTACTGTGAGTGAAGGTAGTGAGGATGATTGATTCTTGATGCATTAATCTCAACTTAATATTTGAATGATTAATTGATAATCTTTCATCTTTCTTATCATGAAAATGATCATGAAAGATTTTCCACCGTTAGATTACACATATAAGAAAACACCACACATTAATCAAATGATGAAAAAATTTTATGAAACATTTCATGATATTTTTTTCATAATCCCTAATAATATTCTTCTTCTTTAAATGGTAGATGATAATTATTTTTTTGGCAATTAATGCATGAGAAAAGTTATTATTGGTTATATGCTCTCCTAAGCAAAAAAAAAAAAAAAAAATCTCTTTTTCCTTCCCATTTTCTCTCCCTTCACAGTTATTCTATCAATTTTTTGATCCAAACACAACCTAAAAGTAATATGAATTTTATGTGAAAAGGAAGAAGAAAAATAGTGGAAACAGAGTGTTCTAGGTCTTCTTCTGGTGCAAAAACTTGCGTAGTTTTGGGTTATTAAAGAAGTCAGAAAAGTGAAATTGACGTTGAATAATTTTACAGAAATGTTATGTACCGAGAATTTAAATCTATGGCGTAGATTTAAACCCTAATGGGGTGTTGTCTACAATTAAAATAAATCTAATCCATATATTTTAAATTCTATTATATATATTGGATAATATTTTAGTATGTCACATTGATGATAAATTTATGAGGGAATTACATCCCCCTAGTGGGTCAAAAAAGTTTTTTTTTTTTTACCCAAATATGAAGGGGTGCAAGTCATACTTACAATCTCATAGGATTTTACTTGCACCCCATCACAAAATCACTTGCATCTCATATGTTTTTTGTAACACTCATCTCATATGTTTTTTGTAATTTTTTTTTTCTGTCCCACTGTACTATAGTTTTTCCTAAATATATTGACCATCTAATTTTGTGATCCCTGATGTACTATAAAAATAAAAATAAAAATACTCAAAGTACGAATCTATGACAGTAGAATTTTATCTTGTTACAATTTCTAGTGAAGTTTCTTTATTAGGAAACCATGGCATAATTGCTTTAGACGAAATGCAAGTAAACATATAAAGGATTATACATTAATAAAGTAGCATACTATTACACTGATGTGCCTTTTTATTTTTTATTTTTTATTTTTTTTTTATCATGAGTACAAGAAATCAAAGTGATTGAGAGTTACAAACTAGATGAAATTACAGGGAACTATCACTCATGAGATTAATAAGTGATTCTGAGGAAGGAGAAGATGTCATACCAATGGATCCGATGTTAAGAACGATGAAACCTATCTGCAATAAAATTCGACGTGCTCTTAACAGCCCAATCTATCACCCAAGAAACCGCTCCAATTAGAAAACAGAAAGCCCACTGTTCAGGATTTAACCTTGCACTGCCAGCAAAAATATTTGCAATCTTCGTATACAACGCCAACAAAACAATAGTACCAACCATCGCAATCCAAAACCAGCAGTTTCGATGGATACCCTTGAACACGTTCTTTCTTTCCAGTTCTCGTGCGTTGAACCAATTGAAAACCTGGCAAAGGACAAAACTGTTGAAGATCATAGCATTACTAACCTTCTGGGTGGTGTCCAATACAGCTTGTCCTTTAAACCGAAAGGTCACCAGAATTGCAGCCTGGTATAGGGCTTGAAGGACTATGTTTCTCCACATGGTTCTTGTCATTGGCGAGTCAATTGATCTTATTGGTGACTTCTTCATTAGTGTCTTGGTGGGTGGATCCATCAATAAAGCTAGGCCACCTGGAACGGCCACAATGAAGCATACGTAGAAATACTGAATTGTTGTTATTGGGACATCTCCAAAACAGATAGTTGTGATTATATTTATCAGTACCCACGCAATGGTCACGGTGAACTCAAGTTGGATGAACTTTTGAACGTTTTCATACGCACATCGTCCGCACTTCATGATGGTGAACAACGAATTGAAATCACCATCCCAGATGATGATGTTGGAGCTCTCTCTGGCCATTTCTGTGCTACCACTTCCCATTGTGATTCCGACGTTTGCTTCTTTAATCGCTGGCGTCTCATCTGTTCTGGCACCCACCATTGCAACTATGTGGCCCTTTTCCTTCAAACACTTCACCAGCAGAAGCTTGTCAGAAGGGAGTGAACTTGCCATAACACAAATTTGATCTACCATTTCCATCCTCCCTTTATGTGTAGAATTTCGAAAATTTTCACCAAGCACCACTGAATCTGAGTTGGGTATGTTCAATCCGCACTCTAGAGCTATGGATTCTAACTCAGACGCATCACATCCTGACACCAATTTGATGTTGACGCCAGCACCTATGCAATCTTCCATTGATTTTCTGAATGAATTTTTTAGACCTAGTAATCCAAGCAAGATCAAGCCTGTTTCTTCGAGAGTAGCTCTATCAGTTTGTTTGTAACCAAATGCAATAGTTTTGAGATGTTTACCTTGCATATCTGCAATAACTTGCTCGAAGAATACTCTTTGTTGTTCATCGATAACATTCATCGCTCCTTCACTACTGTAATAGGATGAGCACATTGCCAGTATTGTTGATGCAGATCCTTTCCAATAGGATGAGTTCACACTTTCCCCGTCCTTTCTCATCAAAACGCCACATCCTTCCTCATCAAAGTTCAATTCTTTCACCTCAACAATTTTACATTCTTGCTTCAGAATATCTAGTTTCGGTCCCAACTTCAAAGAAGCCCAATAGAGGAGCGAGTCTTCCATTGAAGAAAGAGGTCTCTCCAATCCTAGAATTGGTGTGGCAATTCCTTTGCATAGAGCTTCTATGACTTTTGGGGCTATAGCGGATTCATTGTTGAAGAACTGTCCACTAACGTACAACATGTCAACTTCTCTCTGGTGCAAGTTTAGCCCACAAGTTTTGTCAGTGCAGATCGTTGTTACCGAACCCATGGTGATACAAGCCAAGAAATCTTGAGTTGTGGCCTTACCCAACAATGCTTTTTTATTCCAATAATAGAGGGCGAGAGTTACCATTAAAGGTAATCCCTCTGCAATCCCCACCAAAATCATGGTAAGTGAAGAAGTCAATAGATCAGTCTTCCCCTTTGGCTTCTTGACAATTTTATAAATGGCATCTATAAATTCTTTGATAGCAGCCGGTTTAGCTTTGAGATCAGGAATTACAGAGGCAGCACTACCCTTACTGAACTCAAAATGAAGGAACAACACGACAAGGATGATGATAGTGATTAGGACCCCAATGATTTGTATGCAATTGTTCAACTGGTCAAGTTGAACTTGTAGAGGGTTGGAAGCATTTATCACATTACTCATCATTTCACCCCATACTGTGTCCTTGCCAATGGATACCACAAGCATTTTCCCTTTTCCGTTAATCACCTTTGCACCGTGAAACATAAATGGGTTTTGGTCATCAATGGTGGATTCCAATTCATCATCCAATTTTAAAGATTCACCAGAAATGAACAACCCATCTGCAGGAATTTGATCCCCCTTGTTCAACCATACAATGTCACCCGATACAACATTGGATATGGAGATTTAATGTTGGCTTCCACCTCTGAAAACATGGACGGCTATTTCCCTAGTCTTCGATAGCTTTTTCCTCCTTGGCTGATACCATGAATACCAATACTCGCGTATCATAGGAACAGATACAAGCACAATGATGGCACAAATTACAAAGGCCCCCTCATACCACCCGGTATGTAGGCCTTCCTCCAGAATCCCAAAGACAATTGACAACACTGAACACAAAAGGAGAAGGAAAATGAGGTACTTGTTGCATACATTCCAAAGGATATGAAAGAAGCCTTCTTGAGGAGCCTTTGTTTCCGATTGTGGGCATGTTAGGCGTCTACAGCAAAGATCATCTTCATCATTCGCCAACCCATTCTCTAAGTCAGTATCCAAAGCCTCTGCAAATCCTTGTACACCTCCAAACTCATGCAGGGAATTCAAGTCCTTTGCCTTCACAATCCTAGTTATTTCAGCATTTTGAAGCTCTTTGTTGCACTTGTTGCTCTCATCAGCACCATCGGATTGGACATCCAGGGACACCTCCGGTGAGGTTGGTATAATTGCAAGTTCTACATTCTGCAAAGGACATAGCAAATTAGTGTAAAAAACGTGATTAATTACATGTGAAAAAATGAAGAAGAAGAAGAAAATAATTTTTTACACTGAAAATCAATCTTATTCTTCTATATATTCCAATCATACAGTGAGGCAAGCACTCACATATACACACAATACTTCTAACACACTAACTAATGTTGCTCGTCTGTCCTAACTCACTTTGTTTGATTTCTTCTAAAAGCTCAGGTTCACTCACTCTAACATCCCTCAATGGAATGGGAGAATTATTGACCATGAGATTGGGTTTCAAAAAATTAAATCTCGCAACTGATAATGAAATAGATCAGCAAGCTATAGAACCAATGTGATTAATAATAATTTGTTTGCTGAGAACTTATTCTAATCTACTTTCACATTCTAGGTTATAGCATTAAAATAGAGTTTGAAGGCAAGAGACACAATTGAAAGATAGTCACAGTATATTAAACACTATAGCAGTGTTGAACATGACATGGATACGACAGGAACACACGAGCTAAGGACACGAGTCCAACATGGCGTGTTTAGATTTTAATTTTTTTGAAAAAAAATTATTTTACTTTCTTATAGTTTGAAGCTAAAGCACTCTACGTCCTATGTCTTATGATTCAAATATAGTTAAAATGCCTCAACGTAGTTTGGAACTGAAGTATAATCATTAATAAAGTTAACTATATATGTGATATGATGGTAATACTCTTAAACCCTTTTTTTGTTATTTTTCTCTATCCTCTCTCATACACATAAGTTATAATATTTAACATTAATTCAATTAAATCACAATTAATTATAAATTCTTAATTATTTATTCTAATTCTTAACTCTCTTTTTTTCTAATTTTAATTTAATTATATTTTAGATCACAATTAATCCTAACCTGATGGCTTAAGACAGAATATTCCATGTGATCCCCTAGGACACATGTCTTCTCCCCATTTGGCCACTTGGTGTCCTCCTGGCACCAAGGAAAAGCCTATAAATAGGACCCATTTCCCAAGGTTCAACATGAGGAATTTTGGGGATTTAGGGGAGATGCTGCCCATTTTTCTACTGCCATTGTCTTCTTCTTGAGCCATTTGCTTCACCTTCACCCAGCTACACACTCTCAAATTTCCATACAGTTGCAGCTGTTCATTCTCAAGCCACTTCCATTATTATTGGACCATTAGCATAGTTTTGCCTCTCTAATCACCTCCCTAATCTTGAATCCCCCTACACCCATCTATGTTTGGTTCAATGAAATAAAGTGAATAATTATTTCATCATAATGTTTACTTTCTTGTTTGCTTCACTAGGAAAAAAAAGAAAAAAACAATGAAAAATATACTACAATGAAATCATCATTCACCATTTTCAGGGAATAATCATTCTATAAAGAGGCTAAAAAATGATTATTTAATTTTATTAAGTGAATAAAATACTGCATTAAAATTGTTCTTATACTAGCGATCTCAATTCCAACTTATTTTGAAATACCATAACATTTGGTCTCTTGAAAAAACAAATTCTTGATTTTCCTCTTTTTATCGCCATTTTCCAACCCCTTTCACATTTCATGAAATAATCCTCACATTCCAAAACCCCTAATCCTATAATTTAGTATTAGGTAAATTTTTAACCATTCAAGTGTGCAGTGGTCATTACTCATTAGAGGCTTCCGCGTAACTGTCTAGCCCAATCATTGTTTGGACTTTAATGTTAGGTCTCGCGGTTATATTAGAGCATTTAACCGTTACCTTCCTACTTGTTCCATCCTGCATATTTTGAGTTCCTTTTGCTTATCTTTTTGTTTCGGTTCTGTATTTGTTTTTTCTTTTCATCTCGGCTTCTTTGGTTTTGTTCGGCAATTCTAGTTGGTTTCTTTTCATCGCGGTTATATTTTTCGCTTTCTTTATAGCAACTTGTACCTTTTTCTTCTTATTCTTCTTCTTTTTCACGAGAGGAAATTATTCAATACTCCCGGAGCATCACGTGTCCATACTCCAAGCCAATCACCAATTACTTAGCCCCATGCTGTTTCCCCATTTCCAACACAAATTGTGAGCCCTTGCGCCTCCCCACCAATCAAAATCTTATGAAACACCATATGTCCATACTCTAAAAGTACTGAATAATCACCCTTCCACGTCATAGATTTCATTAGACCAAGACTGGATAGCAACAGAGAGTGGTAGCAGCCTGTACCTTTTATTTTTTATTTTTTATTATCTTCTATCTTTTTCTTTTTCTTTTCCACAATATAGATTTCATTAGATAGCAAAAGAAAGCGATATGTCATGAAGCACTACAACCAACACTTGATCCGTCAAAAATTATTGTGCGAATTACACTAATGGTCCATATAATTTGAAAATTGTGTCACTTTGATCTTTGATTTTTTAATTGTGATAAATTTAAGCATAAATTTTGAATATTGTTCTAAATAAGGACAATTAAAGATACCATTACTTAATTTCAAGAGTAAAATCGTCAATTTGATAAAATATAAATTAATCTGAAAAATAAATGTCCAAAAAATATTTTGAATTTTAAAAAATTATTTTTACCTACTAAAGATTAAATTTATGTAAAATTGATAATTTTTTTAGATATTTATTTATTTATTTATTTTACTAAATTAATTTTTATTATGTGTTTGGATGATGATCATGTAATGGGTGATTATATTTACAACTTTGATATCATTATTAAACCAATTCATTAAATCAAAAAATCCAAAACTAAAAATATTTCATACATCAAATATATCGATTACACATAAAAATCTTACCAATCACCCATTACATGATTATCATCCAAACACATAATAAAAATTAATTTGACAAAAATAAATAAATAAATATGTAAAAGATTTATTAATTTTACATAATTTTATCTTTGGTGGATAGAAATAATTTTTAAAAATTTAGAAATATTTTTTGATATTTATTTTTATCAAATTAGTTTAAATTTTATTAAATTAATGATTTTACCCTTAAAAGTTAAGCAATGATATCTTCAATTGTCCTTATTTAAAACAAGATTCAAAATTTAAGATCAAATATGTCACAATTAAAAAATTAAAAATTAAAGTGACACGAGCCCTAAAATATAAAGACTGTTCGTATAATCCGTTCCAAATTATTTAGTAGGTCAGCAAAATCACTTGTTCGTGTCCTTGGCTAATCATAGTCTATAATTTGTCCACCTTCTCCATTACTTTAGCAGCATATGTTCATTTAATTCTTTACTATTGGTCAAGTGACTATCGATGTGAAATTCCTGGAATACAAATAATGTGGATTCCCAAAATAGTGCATATGATATGCACTTCATAATTTTTTCACAAAATTTCGTAATATAAATCACAAAAATATCATAATTTTATGATCATAAAAATCATAACTTTTTTCACCACAAAAAATTATAAAAAAACCCATCAAGTGTCATAACAAAAAGAAAAATAATTTAGAGTTTTAATTCTTGAGCTCTAAAGCCACCTTTAATGAGCTGGCAATGAGTCTCATCTACTATGATGTGATGTTTTGTTCTTGATTTGTTGGTTTGTTTGTTTGTTTTTTTTTTCTCATTGCTATGTCATTAGTGTTCCATTAGAGCACTAAAATTAATACTCTGAATCATTACTGTACCAAAAATCATAGAGTGTCATAACTTCACCATATTATAGAGTATCATAACTTCACTATTCATAATTTTAGGATGCGTATCATAAATTCACTATTCGTGACTTTACCACAAAGTCTCATAACACACCATAAATATTCATAATTTTTATCACAAAAAATACGGTGGTGCTACATGTACTAACTAGTATTAGTACACTAGTTATTGTTGGAAATGGTTGGAAAATTCTGGATAAAACCAGAATTTTTTCCTAATTTTGGTCTATTATTTAGGTGGGACCCAAGCGTCGTTTGTCGCGGGTCAAAGTGGTAACGCGTTCTATGTCGCGTTGTGATTCACATGGTATATTTGGTTGCTCAAAACCATTATCGAGTGAATGGGAAATTGAAGCCAAAGTATGCTCCATGGAAATGGAGTTTTGGCGGAAAATCCTTAAAGGATTGAATAAGGCTTGTCTCACATTAATTTGGTGGGAAGTTTTGAATGGATTTATAAGGCATGGGTTTGGTACTTGGGGTATGCCCAAAAGGGTACCCAAGTGTTTTAGAGAGGGAGGTTATGGGCAAAATAGGCTAGACCCATTGAACCCAAAAATCACCACACGCGCGCCGTCGCCGTCCGTCCGGTTGGGCTGGGCGCGGGTGCGTGGTGTGTGGTTGGGTTGGGTTTGTTCGACCCAATACTTATCTTTTTGGGTCAAAAATATTTGAATTTAATTTTATTTTTTGGTAAAATAAAATCCAAAATTCAAATTAATTTCGGAAATAAACTAGTCCAGTTTTACTGTACACCCAAACAGGGCCCTTCTCGTTTTTTATCTGTTTGAATTTTGAACCCAACAGATTTAAATCTGTTTAAATTTAAAATCAAACCAAACAGGTTTCATACCTGTTCAAACAGGTTTGCACCTGTTTAATTCAAAATCTGCAGCCACCATTCCATCTATAAATAGACTAGCCCCCCATTTGGATTTCTACACCAATTTTCGTACTCCATCTTCTGTTATAAATCTCTGTATTTTGCTACGTTTAATTTCTGAAAAAAGAGTGTAAACACTTAGTGTGTTCGTTAGGCAAACAATTTGTAGTGCTACTATTGTTTGTAGTTGATCATTTCATCCTGGGAGATAGACGTCCACATTCTGAAAGCACCGTGGAGAGGACGAATCTGTCTTAAGGACACAATGTCAAACATTGGACTTGATCAGAATAATATTCAAGAACTAATCAAATAAGTTATTTAATTTATTTTCAGAGTTATTTTATTTATTTAAAATCAGATTTTAATTTTATTTTTTGTAACAAAATAAAATCTGTTTTTATTTATATATTTATTTATTTCTAGTTTGATTTTTG